GGGGGGGTAACATGGAAAGGATGCATGGAACTATGTCCTGCTAGTTTTAGTTTTAGAAAAGAGTTTTACGGCACTTGCAACACAATAAGGTCATATAAGTGCCGAAGATTAGAGGTGTTACAAGAGAGTAACAACAAACGTAAAAAAGAAGGAGGAGAGATAAGGACGATAGCTGTTTAGAGGAAAGAAGGAGCAAACCACACCAGAGCACCCACCAACCACCCACACTATGTCCTGCCTTGCAAACATAGGTAGAGGAGGAGAAAAAGGGGGGGGGAGATTTTGGGCACACTTTGAAACAAGGAGGAGAGTAACGGGGATGGGGAGTGACATGGAAAGGATGCATGGAACAACCATGCTTTAACTAGTGGCACAAGGCTGAGAAAAAAAGGCATGGTGTCCTGCGACTTGCAGCCTTTCTTGAGTATCCTGTGAATAGTGAGTTGTTGGGGTTTTTTTTTGGGGGGGGTTTTAGTAGAGGCTTTATGGCGCTCGCAAATTAACAAGGTCCTGTGAGCGCCAGAAGATTAGAGGTGTTACAAGAGAGTAACAAACATGAAAAAATGAAGAGAAGCGGAGATAAGGACGATAGATGTTTGATAGGAAAGAAGGAGCAAACCACACCAGAGCAAAAGAATAGTGTAATGATCATTCAGTGCTGGGGGAAAAAGCTGAACAGACAGACAGAAATAATAAAGGGTAAAGTTAAAAAGTAGGACCTGTCAGCAGCACCCTCCAGACACCCACTGCAAATGGTGTCGGTCTGATTGTTTGTTTCTTTTTTAGTAGAGATTTTACGGCGCTCTCAACTGCATAAGGTCATATGAGCGCCAGAAGATTAGAGGTGTTACAAGAGAGTAACAAACATAAAAAAGGAGGGGAGATAAGGACGATAGATTTTTTATAGGAAAGAACGGGCATACCACACCAGACCACCCGCCAACCACCCACATTTATTTTTTTGGTGTGAACTCATCAGTTTGTTTGTTTGTTTGCATGTTGTAAATATAAAGTGAAACACAAACATACAGATACATGACAAGATCAGTTGGACTTAGAAAAGTGAGAAGAAAAGGCATGGGGGAAAAAAGTGCAAAGGAAGACTCCAACAGCACCACTCTCAAATGACCTTTCTGAGGAGGAAGTAGGGGGAAGGGAGGTGGCATCTACTTTGTTTGTTCTAAAGGGTAAACAGTAGTAAGTCAGGAGGTTAAAGTTCAAACCTTGATGGCCGTCAGCCTTTCCATCTGCTCCCCATAGCTGAGTTTGAAGCACTCTTCACTCTTGTGGAGTCGACTTTCTGAGATGGAGAGAGGAGGGTAACTGAGAGTCGAGGGAACTTGTCTGCACATAAAACACACAATCTGTTACATAAAGGCACAAGCATGCACAAACACAAACACACACATGCAGAAAGATAGACAGACAGACACACACACACACTGATACTACCCACAGAAACACAAGCACAAATGCACATATGTGGAAACACGGATAAAAACAGATGCACGGACAAATGGATGCACACATATGAACACAAACAAAGAAAGACATGTGTTACATAAAAGAACTGAGAACCACATAAACAGAAACATTTTAATGCAAAAAAACAATATTATACCCACCCACTCACATACTTAAAAAGACAGACATATATACAAACATAGACACACACACAAATACTTTCACTGACACATAATATACAAAAACACCTACAGACATACATAAACATACACTCAGGTGCAAACACATATTTACACATTCATACACAAAATTACACACACAAACAAACAGATTCACTCATACAAACACAGACAAATAAATGCAAGCATAGATATATATACACATACAAGCACACCATGTAAATTTGGGTAATATCTCAAATACCAATGCACTTTACACCTTCTATTACCCCAGTAGATCCTTGAACACTCAGAAACATTCTCAGCTTCCCTGGAAGCATGCAGTGCAAGCTGCGAATTGCATGTGCTCAAACACTAACTAAATGGCAAGATCTTTCGCTGTCTTTAGCCGGGTACCCATTTTAACTTGGGTGAAGAGAGGAAAATTTATGTAAAGTGCTTTTCCGAAGGTCACAACATATGGCTCCTGACCAGAATTTTATCCCATGACTTTACAGTTGCGAGTCCGAGAGCCTAACCACTAGGCCATGGACACCATCAAAGTGGGACAACGACTATGACTTTGGTGCACGTGACGTACCTGCGTCAGGCAGTTGCTCCAGGTTCTTGAGTAGGAAATAGCACCATACAACATCCAGACACAAGATGGCGTAGTTGTCGACCGTTTTGAGGATCTCAGCCCTGCACTTGCTGAAAGTGTGACACATATGGGGAGTATTATTGCAAACTGCTAAATGCATGTCTCATTAAGGCAAATAACCACACACATATCTGGAGAGAGAAAGGGGAAGGGG